TTTAAAATACAGCCCAAAAAAAGGGCCCCCTTTTAAAAAAGTTTGTTTTTCCCTATAAGGACCCCTCTAACATTAAATTCATCCAAAAAGGACCCCTTTAACAGTCCAGTCCTATAAAGGATCCTTAACATCGTCCTTAAGGATCCTTTAAACATAAATTTAAAAAGTCCTATAAGGATCCCTCAACTTTAAAATCGCCCTATAAGGACCCCTCTAACATAAAAAACAGCCCATAAGGATCCCTCTAACAGACATCTATAATGACCCTTTTAAACAGTCAGTCCTATAAGTTTCCCTCAACTTTAAATACAGCCCTATAAGGACCCTCTAACATACAGCCTAAAGGTCCCTCAAAGCCAGTCCTTAAGGCCCCTTTAAACTTTAAAATCAGCCCTATAAAGACCCCTTTTAACAATCAGCCCTATAAGGACCCCTCAAAACATAAATACAGTTCCTAAGGATCCCTCAACAGTCATCCCCTTAAGAATCCCTTAACGTCAGTCAGTCCAAAGGGATTTTTAAATTAGTCCAGTCCATAAGGACCCTCTAACAGTAGTCAGTCTAAAAGTCCTTAACATCAGTCCAGCCCTTAAGGATCCCTTAACAGTCACCTTTTTAAAAGGACCCTCAACAGTCCAGTCCATAAGGACCCCTTAAACAAAATACAGCCCAAAAGGACCCCTTTAACATTAAATACAGTCATATAAGGCCCTCAAACATCCAGCCCTATAAGATCCCTCTAAATCAGCCAGTTATAAGGATCCCTCTAACGTCCAGCCCTAAAAGGGACCTCTAACATTAAATACAGTCCTATAAGGACCCCTCAAACATTAAATACAGTCCTAAAAGGACCCAACTTTAAATACATCTTAAGGTCCCCAACACCCAGTCCTATAAGGATCCCTCTAACAGTCAGCCGCCCTTTAAAGGATCCCCTAACATCAGCCGTTCTAAAGGATCCCTCAAAAGTCCAGATCTTAAGTCCCTTTAAAAGTCCGCCCTAAAAGGACCCCTTTAACAGTAGCCAGTCCTATAAGGACCCTCTAAGTCCAGTCCTATAAGGATCCTCAAAGCGTCCAGCCCTAAAAGGATCCCTCTAACAGCCCAGTCCTAAAGGGATCCCTCAACAGTCAGTCAGTCCTAAAAGGCCCCTAACTTAAATTCAGCCCTAAAGGACCCCTTTTTAACAGTCCAGTTCTAAAGGGATCCCTCAACAGTCAGTCCAGCCCTTAAAAGGGATCCCTCTAACATTAAATACGTCCTATAAGGATCCCTCTAAATTAAATACGCCCCTTAGGACCCCTCAACGTCCGTTCTATAAGGTCCCTCAAACATCAGCCATTCTATAAGGACCCTCTCAACTTTTAAAATACATCATAAGGACCCCTCTAACAGTCCATTTTTAAAAGGGATCCTCTAAAATTAAAAAAAAGTTCCAAAAAGGATCCCTCTAACAGTCGCCGTCCAAAAGGGACCCCTCTAAAATCCAGTTCTATAAGGACCCCTCTAACAGTAGTCCAGCCTATAAGGTCCCTCAACTTTAAAACGTCCTATAAGGGACCCCTCTAACTTTAAAAATACGTCCTTAAGGATCCCTATAACATTAAAAAAAGCCCTTAAGGATCCCTCTAACGGTCATCAAAGGACCCCTCTAAAGCCCAGTCCATAAGGATCCTCTAACTTTTAAATACAGCCCCTATAAGGTCCCTATAACTTTAAATACAGCCCAAAAGGGATCCCTCAAAAGTCACCCTTAAGGATCCCTCAACAGTCCAGTCCTATAAGGTCCCTCAACTCAGCCCTAAAAGGGCCCCTTAAACGTCCTCCTAAAAGGGACCCTTTTTAACAGTCCATCCTTAAGGACCCCTCTAACTTTAAATAAGCCCTTTAAAGGATCCCTCAACATTAATTCGCCTATAAGGATCCTTAACACCCAGCCAAAAGGGATCCCTTAACATCCGCCAAAAGGATCCTTAAACATTAAATAAGTTAAAAGGCCCCCTAACTTAAAAATAAGTCCATAAGGATCCCTCTAACAGTCAGTCCAAAAAGGTCCCTCTAACAGTCACCCCGTTTATAAGGACCCTAACAGGCAGTCCAGTTCTAAAAGGACCCTCTAAAATTAAATACAGTCATAAGGATCCCTCAAAAATTAAAAACATCCTTAAGGCCCCTCAACGGGGTTTCCAAAAGGACCCCTCAAAACAGCCAGTCTAAAAGGGATCCCTCTAAATTAAATCAGTCCTAAGGGCCCTCTAACAGTACACCATAGGACCAAAATTAATTAAAATAAGCCCCAAAGGGACCCTCTAACAGTCCCCTTAAGGACCCCTTTAAATAGTCGTCCATAAGGACCCTAACAGCCCCAGTCCTAAAGGGGCCCTTTAACAGTCCAGCCCTAAAAGGATCCCTCTAACTTTAAAATACATTTTTAAGGGACCCTTTAAAATTAAATTTTCGTCCTTAAGGACCCCTTTAACGTCCAGTCCTATAAGGATCCCCTAAACAGTCCGCCATAAGGATCCGTCTAACTTTAAATACAGCCAAAAGGAACCCTAACTTAAAATACAGCCTTTAAAAATCCTTAAACATTAAAAACCCCTATAAGGACCCTTTTAAAAGGGTCAGTCCTATAAGGATCCCTTAACAAAAATACAGTCCTAAAAGGCCCCCAAAATTTTAAAAAGTCCTATAAAGTCCCTTTAACAAAAGCCTTAAGGACCCCTTTAACGCAGTCTTAAGGACCCCTCAACATTAAAACAGTCCAAAGGATCCCTCTAACAGTACAGTCCAAAAGGCCCCTTAACATCCAGTCCAAAGGATCCTCTAACATAAAACAGTCCTTAAAGACCCCTTTAAAAAATATCCTTAAGGTCCCTCAACTTTAAATACAGTTCCAAAGGATCCCTCTAACAGTGTCCGCCCTAAAGGACCCCTAAAAACATCAGTAGTCCTATAAGGACCTTCTAACAGTCAGCAGCCCCTTAGGCCCCTCTAACAGTCAGTCCTGTCCCATAAGGACCCTCTAACTCCAGTCCTATAAGGATCCCTTAAACTTAAAATACAGTCCAAAAGGATCCCTCTAACATTAAATAAGTCATAAAAGGATCCCTCTAACGCCCAGTCCTAAAGGATCCCCCAAAACAGTCAGTCCAGCCCTATAAGACCCCTTAACGCCCAGTCCTAAAAGGATCCCCAACATTAATACAGTCCTATAAGGACCCCCCAAAACATTAAATAAGTCCTAAAGGACCCCTTAACTTTAAATACAGTCCTTAAGGATCCCCTAAAGCCCCGTCTAAAAGGATCCCTCTAACGTCGTCCAGTCCTATAAGGACCCCCAAACATCAGCCCAGTTTTATAAGGATCCCCAAAAGCCAGATCTAAAGGATCCTTAACAGTCCACCCTAAAGGATCCCTAACAGTCAGTCCAGCCTTAAGGACCCCTCTAACAGCCAGCCAAAAGGATCCCTCTAACAGTCGTCCATCCTATAAGGACCCCCTCTAACAGTCCGCCCTAAAAGGACCCCTAAACAGTAGTCCAGCCCTATAAGGATCCCTCAACATTAATTATCCTAAAAGGGACCCCTTAAGTCCGTTTTAAAGGGTCCCCTAACAGTAGTCCCGTCCATAAGGATCCCTCAACATTAAAACAGCCCTATAAGGATCCCCTAACATTAAATCCATCCTATAAGGATCCCTCAAACCCAGTCCGTTCTTAGGACCCCTAACAGTCAGCCAGTTCAAAGGGATCCTCTAACATTAAATACAGTCCTATAGATCCCTCAACTTTCCAGTTCTATAAGGACCCCTCAACGTCAGTCCAGTCTAAAAGGATCCCTAAACATTAAATACATCCTATAAGGATCCCTCTAACATTAAATACAGTCCTATAAGGATCCCTCTAACATTAAAAACAGTCCTATAAGGATCCCTTTAACAGTCAGTCCTATAAGGATCCCTCTAACATTAAATACAGTCCTATAAGGATCCCTCTAACATTAAATACAGTCCTATAAAGATCCCTTTAACAATCAGTCCTATAAGGATCCCTCTAACATTAAATTCAGTCCTATAAGGATCCCTTTAACAGTCCAGTCCTATAAGGATCCCTCTAACAGTCCAGTCCTATAAGGATCCGTCTAACATTAAATACAGTCCTATAAGGATCCCTCTAACATTAAATACAGTCCTATAAGGATCCCTCTAACATTAAAAACAGTCCTATAAGGATCCCTTT